CCCGGGTGAGTGCCCCGCACTCCCCGCAGCCCGTCTGCAGTTCGGGCGTCTTCCGGGTGATCAGTCGTGGACCCTGGAGGGGCATGGTCCCTCCTGCCCCCTCTCCGTGCCCACTCGCCGCTCCAGGGCTGAACATCCCGGGGCATCGGACCATGCTCCCTACAGGGATTTTCGGGTGATGGGGTTGGTCGCCTTCAGAAGGTCATGGCCGCGGGCATGGCTTGTTTCCGGTTAGGATCATGTCCTCGGGCTACCTCCGGCCTACGAAGCCGAGGGGGGCTGTGAAGGCTGCTGCGAGGGTCGGGTGTTACTCTCCTTAGGATTGACCGGCCAGGGCTGTCCCTTGGGCGCGCATTATTGGTGATCAGTAACCAGCTAGGACTTCGATTTTGAGTTTTATTTCGGGGGGCGGAGGGGGAGAATAGGTGGGGAGTTTTGAATGAGCCTAGGGGTAGCTTAGAGATGGTCATTTAATTATGATCAGTTTGGGATTTTGCTTGAATTTCCTAGTATTTACGAGATTGTGGTATGGGTTGGGAGTTGTCACCGTAGGCTCGGTAAGTGTCGATGAATGAATAAATGAACACATGCAAGGCACTCCGTCGGGACTCCAAAGGCAAGTTAAATTCTCAGTGGGTGTCAAATGTGTGAGTAAATGCCCTCATGGATTGAAGTTGATCAAGAGATAGGTTTGGTGTTAGACTTTTGGGGGTGGGGGTGGGGACTAAGGAAGCCTGATGAAAGTGTTCATTTGAATAGTATTCCTGACACTGAGAAGGGGAGATGGGCACTGAGGTTTTAGAATTGGGGAAAAGCTGACTTTGAAAGACTAGTGTTTAAAGATATTTTGGGAGAGAGCATAAGAACTGAGACTAAGAGCTAAGGATCTGTAATAGGCCCGGGCTGGACTGCTGACCTCTATTTATTTGCCTAGTGCCATTAGACAAGTTCCTTAATATCTCCAGCCAGGCCTATTTCCTTAGTTATAAAGTGGGAGAAGTGTTGGTAGTGGGGCCTGGTACCTAGTAAGTGCTTTATTAGTTACTATAGTAGTAAGTATGATTACATGGATCTTTGTGCACCAGCCTGGAAACCGGCTCTCTGCATGAAATTAAATGGAGGAAATGTTTCATGACTGCTTAACAATTTAGTTATAAATCTTGGGAATGTAGCCTACTTGTAGCCTGCAGCCTGCCTGGATTTTCTCATTAGGCCTCAGAAGTTGACCTTCTTGCCTCTGCTTTTGCAGAACTACATCTTTTGGCTTTCAAAGTGTTCTTCTGACAAAAAATGTTATGCCAGTTACTCTTATTTGTCTAGTCCTTAACATCCCTTGAAGGGTCTATCATTCATCTTCACTGTTGCATTTGAGGGAACACAATCTAGTAGAAAGGGTATCCTATATAATAAGAGTGTAACATGCTAAGTGTCTGATGAATTGCTTGACCACACAACCAGTTGCTATGACGCGCACTGACCACCAAGGGGCAGACGCTCCGACTGGTAGGTTAGCTTGCTGCTGGGGTCCAGCCGATGGGGACTGGGCGAGAGGGCCGGACACGCCCTGGAGCCCTCCCACGGCCCCTCCACAGCCAGAGGGCCCCAATGGGCCCCTATCAGGGTCAGCTGGCCAATCTCCCACGGTCCCTTCCCAGCCAGCCGGCCCCATCTGCCCCTGATCGCCTGATAGGCCAAGGGGCCACATCCGTGCACAAATTCGTGCACTGGGCCTCTAGTTCTATTATAAAAGGTCTGGGTGTTCATCAGACCTGGGTCCATTTACTTGCTGCAAAATCTTAACCTAACCTCTTTTATCCTCGGTCTCATCTGTAAAGTAGAGGTAACAGGTCTTTCCTGCTTCTTTGTAAAATTAAATTCTTGTCATTTAGGACTCAACTTAAATGCTATTTCTTTAGAGAAGCCTTATGTCAAAACTCTAAAACAGCGGTTCTCAACCTGTGGGTCGCGACCCCTTTGGGAGTCAAACGACCCTTTCACAGGGGTTGCCTAAGACCATACTGCATATCAGATATTTACATTACGATTCATAACAGTAGCAACATTACAGTTATGAAGTAGCAATGAAAATAATTTTATGGTTGGGTCACAACCTGAGAAACTGAATTTAAAGGGCCAGAAGGTTGAGAACCACTGCTCTAAAAACTACCCTATTTTAGTTTTATCATGGCATATCTCACTTGTCTGATATTACTTGTTTATCTTTTCTCTATTTTCTTAGAAAATAAGTTGTGTGAGAGCAGAACTTTGTCTTATTCACCACTGTGTGCTCAGCAAGTAAAGAAGTATTTGTCCCCTTATTCTCCTGGGCACTAAACCCTTTTTCTATGCAATCTTCTATCCTTCAGCCTCTAAGCATGCCTGGGTCTTTCCCACCTGAAAGACAAAACTTTTCCCAGGACTCTAGACTTATTCTAGATCAGCGGTTCTCAACCTGTGGGTCGCGACCCCTTTGGGGGTCAAACGACCTCGAACAACCCTTTCACAGGGGCCGCCTAAGACCATCGGAAAACACATATATAATTACATATTGTTTTTGTGATTAATCACTATGCTTTAATTATGTTCAATTTGTAACAATGAAATTGGGGGTCACCACAACATGAGGAACTGTATTAAAGGGTCGCGGCATTAGGAAGGTTGAGAACCACTGCTCTAGATGCTTCCCAATCTCTCTTCCCTGTCTGTACTCCCATCCTGCATTTCCTCACTTTGCATCCACTCATCTACCCACTGCAGTCACCTCTGCAAAAGCCATCGTTGTCTTGTTTATTAACTTTTTTATCGTATATATTTAAATTATAAAACTCATGAGGAACAATGGCAACATGCAGGGGAAAAGCAGTAAACTAAAAATCATCCTAATTCTATAACCCAGAAAGAACCATTGATATATATAACTCCTAGTCACTTGTGTATGTGTGAGATGATCCATGTTCAAGGCCTTGATCTCTGGCATATTACTCTGTCTCCCATTTTGCCTTCATTAGACCCTTTTCTTGGCATTGGTGACATTACTCTTTCTTGTCTTTAGAATTTTTCTCACTGGCTTTGGTGCTTCCTTTTTCCTCTGTTTTTCTCTTAAATGTTGATGTTTTGTCCTTTGTCCTTTGCTTTCTAATTTTTTATCCCCTTTGGGTGACCTCTTTCATTTTCAGGGTATCAGCCCCTACCTATCTGATGATGGCATTATTTCTCTTCCTGTACATAGACTATCTACTAGACATCATGATTGAACTACAGGTACTTCAGATCCATCACATCTCATATTGCACTAGTCTTTCCTCCCAAATCTGTTCCTTGTGTGTTCTGTGCTTTTGTGAATATTGCTGTTGCTGTTTCCTTGAGATTTCTCATTCATATTTCATTGACACCTCCCCCACCCCCATGTATTGACTCCACAATGATTAAGTCTTATTAGATCTACTTCATATGGAATGAATCTGTTCCTCCAATCCCCATATCATTCCCTAGTCTCCTTGATAATTTGATCATATCATTTTATTACTTACAGTCAGACACTGTGATGACTCCCATTAGGTCCAGAATAAGGTGCTCCATGATCTGGAGATGTTGGAGCCTCACTCCTTATGAGTTCTTTCCCAAGGCATCCTATATTCTAACCATACCAAACTACTATTTTGAAGTCTACAGGGTTTCTGAAACTATAATGAGTATAAGAATTTCCTGGGGATATTGTTAAAAATGTAGGTTTTGCCCTAGCCTGTTTGGCTCAGTGGATAGAGCGGCAGCCTGCGGACTGAAGGGTCCTGGGTTCGAATCCAGTCAAGGGCACATGCTCAGGTTACAAGCTCGCTCCCCAGTGTGGGGCATGCAGTAGGCAGCCAGTCAATGATTCCTTCACATCATTGATGTTTCTATCTCTCCCTCTCCCTTCCTCTCTGAAATCAATAAAAATATATTTTAAAAAAAATTTAAAAAGTAGGTTTGGATTTTATAAATCTAGGCAGGGGACTGAGATTCTGCATTTCTAACAGGCCCCCAAATGATAAAAATGCTGGTCTGTGGACCAGCAAGGCTCTGGTGGGCCATGCTGCATATCTGCTTGCTTTTGAATATAATGTTCACTCTTGAGATGTGTCTCCCTTTCCCCCTACTCAAGTGTTCCCCTTCTTTGTTCAATCTTTCTTGTACTTTCTCTCATAGCCGGATTCACTAAAGCATCCATTAACATGATTACATGTGTGACCACCAGCACTCCAGACCTGGCTGTAAGTTCCTTGAAGGCAGGATCTTTGTTTTATTTTTTTTTGGCCTTGAGTTGAGGATATCAATGAAAATCTTAGACATTGAGTAAGGAATATTGTGAGATGCAAAGAAGTTTGGGCCCATTAGCCCATTCATATAGTGTAGTTAATTTCCACACATTCACTCTGATCTTTATTTCCAGGAATGACCTGTCTGAGAAGGAAAGATGAGTATTACTAAGCGATTATATTAATCTGTTTTCAAAATTGGTGCACCAAAAACTATA